AAACTCAATTAGCAGTTAATTTCTGGGGATTGGTCTATTAAAGCCAGACACACTTATAAAAAGGGTAAAAAGATGCAGAAACGTGCAGCAAACTGGGGAGAACTGGAGCAAAGGACTAACAGGCCGCAAAGATGGAGGGGGCTCTGCTCTGAGCAAATGAGGTGGGGGGTCATGCAGGATGATGAACTGCTATCATGTAACCTTGTTGATAGAAGGGAAATACAAGCTTATAATCTGTCTTTTAGTTCCTGGGGTCAATCAGGAAATCAACACTAACGTTTAGCAGCAAACAGATTCCCACCTGTGGGCTTGAGACAATTTAAAGACAGGTACGTCGTCTCCGCTTTGATCGTCTCCTCTTTTCAGCACCCACACTCGGTTGTTTGAACATTTGCATTCACCGAGGACAACTCCCATCGTTTGAGGTTACACAGACAAGAACCGAGGAGGATTTGAGGGGATTTCCCTCCTGCAGGTTTTTCGAGCGGGTGCGGCATCAGTCAGGTGCTGATGTTACACTGATGCAACATTTCAGCCTCAGGAGAACTTTACTTCTGGACGCTGCAGGGACCCATTATTCTCGGACACTAAACGCACACAGAACAGGGAGGTGCATCGTGTTTGTAGCTTTAGTAATGAGGTTTCTTCTAGGAAACAAAGTAACTAAATCGAAACGCCGAATAGTTGAAATCTCTTTATTCTCAGCAATAAAACTGCACTCCACTCCTAGATAATTTACATTCAAGAGTACAGGTATTTAGTGTAAATATGATAAAACATCTGAATGTCAAATATATATTAAAGTCTAAGTAGAATATATAGAAAGAAGGTAGGTGCGCAGCACTGGTCCCCAACACCGTGGAATAGAAAGAGAAACAGTTTAGTCTTAAAAATATATCTTTAGAAAAATAAAGGAGCTACACTTTGTACAGATGTTCAAACAAATAAATGGTGGTGTTCACATCCTGTCCCGGTGGGTGATGATCCCAGAATAAAGTGCAGCAGTGGTGGGATTCACCTCTTCAGAACAGTTCGAAAAAGTTGTTTTAGTCACTACAACCGAGATGCGTTTAGAAAAATACAACTCCATTCAACAGCTCTGCTTTGAGATAAAAAGGCACTTCAGAGCAGAGGGCGACTAGTTGATCTTCTTCGTGTCTGCAGTCTCCGCGTTCTCCGGCTCGTCTTTGGTTTTCAGCGAGCCGCCTCGTCCCCTGACGGAAGAGGTGGCGCTGTGCTGCCCGGACGATCCGTTCTCGCCGCACTCTTTGGCTGAGGGGTGAGGCGTTCCCGTTGTGCCGTTATCGCTGCACGCCTTCTTGAGGTAACCAGTGAGAGCGGCGTGCGAGGAACGACCGGAAAACAGGGTTTGGTACAGGACTGACTCGATGGAGGCGAAGGGCGAGGAGGAGGAGCCCGTCAGCATCATCCGGGTCTAAAAACACAAACAAAAAAATGTTGGAAAAAAAAAAAAAGCACAAGAAGAGAAAAACATGAATTCAGGTTAGTGGTTGCTTGTGTAGTTTCAAACTACCGGTACTGTGAAAAACTACAATCATTTCAGAATAAACAAACTAAATTGCTTAGAGAACATACAGCAGTGCACATCATAGCTTCTCACAAAAACAGCGGGACATTTCAGAAAACAGTGCAACAAAACGGGAAACAACAAAAAATATTTCCATAAGATGAAAATACGGTCGTTTTAATGATGGATTGAGTTGTTTCGTTATTTTTTTTATTTTGTGGGCTTGATTTTGTTGTTGGAAATTTTACACTTGTTGTATTTTTTTCTGTTTTTATTAATCTTTATTGACCGTATTTTTCCAGACAATAAGGCGCATTAATTGAAACAAAACAGTCAGATAAGTCCAACTTTATTCAACTCAGTCACAATAACCACATAAAATCAGTAAACACAACTAGAATTAATACATAAGGCGCACCGGATTATAAGGCTCACTGTCGATTTTTGAGAAAATTAAATGATTTTAAGTGTCTTATATTCTGAAAAATATGGTAGTTTTCTGAATAGTTGAGTGTTTTCAAACTG